TGCGCCTGGCGGCCGCTTTACTGGCTTATCTTCCGCAGGCAATAAGGTGTACGTTCACCCCGAGTCGCCCAACACCGGAGCTCACTGGATGAGGCAGGAGATTTCTTTCGGGAAATTGAAGCTAACGAATAATAAAGGTGCTAACAACAACAACGCGCAGGTAAATGGGGGGAGGGGTGGGGGGGTTGGGAGGCAGCCTTGAGGGGCTCTTGGTGCCTCAGCCAGGGAAGCCCTGGGGTTTTGGGGCTTTATAGCATTTAATTGAGCTGTTAGATCGCTATTCTTGTGACTTGTTCCCTTTTGAACCGGATCGTAGATCATCTTTGCTTCTCCTTATGAAGACAATCGGAAATGTCAGAAATAGACGTGTGAATTTCTTTGGGTTTAGCCGATGTATCTATCTCCGGAGTTGCTCAAAAAGTGGGAGTGTAGCTGGTACCTCTTAATTTCCTACATTTACAGATTTTAGCATGTTAGTAACCTAGTGAAACAGGACTACAAGCTCTGAATCATCTCCTGTTAAGTTAAAATTGTTCCACTCCCAAGTCAAAAGATAACAATTTACAGGAATAAAATGTCAGCTATAAAATCTTTTCATGTTAGATGTAGTTTGTCTAAAGATTTTTCTCTTCCATGGTTTCTTTTAGATGATAGTACTGCAATCTCTACACAAGTACCAGCCCCGGCTTCACATTGTTGAAGTAACTGAAGATGGTGTTGAAGATCTGAATGATTCCTCCAAGACTCAAACATTTGTTTTCCCTGAAACACAGTTCATAGCAGTTACAGCGTATCAAAACACTGATGTAAGTAAGCATGGATGTATAAAATGACAATTAAGAATAAAATTGTCTTGTGGATTCAACATCTCACCTTGCTATATTCTGCTTTCACTTTTAGATTACCCAGCTCAAAATTGACCATAATCCTTTTGCAAAAGGCTTCAGAGACAACTATGACTCGTAAGTACATTTCTGTCTTCTCTTGCAGCTGTCTCTGTGTAGGAGGCGTGATTCTGGCCTGAAATGTGTGTGGAATAGTTTTTGTTTAGACAGTACTTCAGTTATTCAGAAGCAGTAATACTTCTACTGGTAGCTTTTCTAGCTGATGTGCTCCTTTCGAAGACATTAAATGTCTGTCTGGAAACATTAGATGTCTGTTTGAATAGCTATGGTATTGTCTTGATGACCTGCCTTCCAGCAGGCTTCTGAATTTTGGTAGAAAACTTGTACTGGCAGAACCTAGCTGGCGTGCAGACTGGCAGTAGTTAATGGGGTAGCTCCACAGAGCAGGCAGCTGCTTCAAATTCAGTAGAAGACTTGCCTACTGCTCACTTTATGCCATTGAATGGCCTTTGAAAAACTGGAACAGTAAATATACAAGCATGGCTTCTGGGGAGGAAGGTGCTGCACCTCCTTTGAAATGGGTTGGCTGGCAGAGAAAAGTGTGTATTTGTAGCAGTAATACTGGAAATTCTATACTGGTCTGGGAAAGATGAACAACTCCTAAATCGGATAAAAACGAACAGCCACTCAGTTAAACCTAGTTGTGATAGTAACTAAGAAATAACTCAGTTTCTTTCTGTTTGTCTTACTACCATGCTGGAATTGCAAAGAACAATGCTCAGTATTTCTCTTTTATGTTGTAGAATGTACACAGCTTCAGAAAATGACAGATTAACTCCATCTCCCACGGATTCTCCTAGATCCCACCAGATCGTCCCTGGTGCCCGATACAGCATGCAACCATTCTTCCAAGAACAGTTTGTCAACAACCTGCCCCCAGCCAGGTTTTACAATGGTGAGAGAACCGTCCCTCAGACAAATGGCTTGCTCTCTCCGCAGCAGAATGAAGAGGTGGCCAGCTCTCCTCAGCGGTGGTTTGTGACACCTGTACAGCAGCCTAGTGCCAACAAACTGGACATGAACTCCTACGAGACAGAGTATTCACCTAGCACCTTGCTCCCTTACGGCATTAAATCCCTCCCCCTTCAGACATCCCATGCTCTGGGATACTACCCCGACCCAACATTTTCATCCATGGCAGGCTGGGGGAGCAGGGGCTCTTACCAGCGAAAAATGACGACAGGATTACCTTGGACCTCCAGAACAAGTCCTCCAGGTTTCTCTGAAGACCAGCTTTCAAAGGAGAAGGTGAAAGAAGAAATTGGCTCATCCTGGATAGAAACTCCACCCTCCATAAAGTCTCTAGATTCAAATGATTCTGGGGTCTACACGGGTGCTTGTAAGAGAAGACGGCTCTCCCCTAGCACTTCCAGCAACGAAAATTCCCCGACTATGAAATGTGAGGACATAAATGCTGAGGACTATAGCAAAGACACGTCAAAAGGCATGGGCTACTATGCGTTCTATACTAGTTCTTAAAGCATCCTTTTCCAATTGGCTAATTTTTTTTTTTTCAGGGTGGCCTTGGTTTTTTTGCATTACAATTGCCAAAAAGACTCTTGCCTTCCACCTTGAATTGTTGTGTGCAATTCTAAAGAAGGTGCCAAAGCTTTGACTGTTGCAGGTAATGAAGCAGTTTTTTTTTAAACTATGGTAGAATTCTTCCCCTCTTTTAGAAGGAACCACATGTGGAAGCTGTGAGCAGGAGCATAGATTTTTACAATGTGGCTTATTTATTGGAGACACTAAAGTGTACAGTTTGGCTTGGCTCAGAGGCCTGATGAAATCTATGCACTCCTGAGCAAGGAAATAAGGGGGTAGGATCCCAAATTTAATTTTCTTCCCTGCCTGCCCCTCTAATAAGAGGGCTGGGTTGCAGGGAGCTGCACAAATGTTATGATCTGCTTTAGACTGAGTTGGCTTCTTCAACCCTTGTCTGCAGCACAGTTGGCTGAGTTGTATATTGCTCAGCTAAGGCTTTCTTTGGCAGAAGATGGCCAAAATAAGGCCTGCTTGCCAGGCAGGGTTTTGACCTGAACGTCCTGTTGCTAATGATGGGGTTGCAATGACCAAATGTGACTTTTCTTAGCTTAGAATTTGCATTAAAAAAAAAAGCCCATGCCTCCATCCCAAAAGCCTAACCTTTATTGAGGTGGCCAAAAAAAAAGTGTACAGTTGTGTTTTGTCTAGGTACACTGTAGGATATTGTGGAATAATGTATAAATAGTTGACCTGTAGTGGTTCAGTCAGAAGGACCTCCGGTGGTGCTTTGAAGTTCAAAAGACTTTTTTTTTTTGGTTAATCAAACTTAGCATATGGAGCATTGTGAAAAACATTAACAGATTTCTATTTACGTGTATGTAAAGTGACTTTTTCAGCTGCCCTGTACAAAACTGGAAGCGATGTAACTTACCCACTCTTCTTGCCTATAGTTTCAGCCATTTTAAACTGATCATCCCTAGAGCACTGGCACACAAACCTCTAACAAAATTTGGTTCTGTTGTCTTTTTCTATGTACATAGTAGTAATTTTTAATAAATGTGGTGGTGCCAGGGATAAGAGTGGAGGTGGTTCTCTGCCTCTTCTTTTGCCTCTTCTGGTTGTCCCAGCTGGGGGGAGGACGAGGGAGCATGATTATTGAGGGCTGAGTTTTCTTTAAATCTAACCTTCCCTTGCAAAGTTTCTCCTTTCTGCTTTATCCCTTGCACTGTGCTCATTTGGATGCTGCTATCTGCCTGTGGTTGTGGTGTGTGTTTCTTTTTTATATCTTCTCGTGGTTTGCCACAGTTCTCCCGTACATCCCCCCAAGCTCTAAGCCCCGCGGCTTGCTCCAGTCATGGGAGTGCCTCTTTTTCCCTGCCGCCCCAACCCTGCTCCGCGGGGCTGCGGGAGGTGAGGTGTGAGCTCAGCCCTCGTCCCAACGAGCGACTTGTGAACTCCGCTCGCCCCCCCAGCGGCAGCGGGGCTGCCCCCTTCCCTGCTCGCCCCCTCCGTTTCCTGGAACCCGGTAAGAAATTCCCCTGTCTTCTTATCTGTGGAGAAAGCTCCTCCTGGCAGGGCAATTGAATCTGGGCTCCCACGGCAGCAGGACCTTTCCTGAGGATATGCAGGCAGTAATGGGATTAAACTGTTAG